TCCTTGCATGTGTTTAGATTTCCTCTCTTTAATGGAACTCGAGCAAATGCCAGCATGGACAGGGCTTTCTGCCTCCAAGGCAGGAGCAGACACTGCAGAGCAAAGCATTTTCCTGTGTGGGATGGAGCCAACACACTTGATCAGTCCCTTCCTTATAACTCAGATAGCAGCTCTCTCTATTCAGAGGGATCTCCAGAGACAGAATTACACCTCCCACCTAAAACTTCCAGTTTGAACCCATGCCAAGCGACCCCTGTGGAAATTTTTTTCTAATAGAGAATAATTTAGAAGTCACCACTGTAAACTCACTTCACTTCTAATGCACTCCTGGCTCTACTCAAATCCCTCCTAGGTGTAGGATATCCAAGCTGGATGACTCCAAGTCATGGAGTGACTCCATGGCATGGAATCAGCACCTGGCAGAATCTGAAAGACCTCTGAGTGTTGCTATTTGTCTTTTCAAGCAGAAAACCCATCCTTTATCTTAATCTCTTGTATAATATTATCACTTTGTAATAATTAACTGTCTTCAAAATTGCTCCACTGAATCTATTTCCCTCTTGTCTTAATTTCTCAGTTGTCCTCATGAATTTTGATTCTATTACACACAAAATGGCCAAAACCACAAACCCTAAACCACAGAAATTATGCTGATGCAACAAAACCACACATCTGCTGGAAGCAAACTAGGCAGAAAGCCCAAACTCATTGGTTTATAGAGAAGTAAATAGGAGAGCAGTGATATAAATATTTGAAACCTCTTGTCTCCCGATCAGGATGCAACTCAGGTGTGTAAGGATTAAGCTCTGGTTGCCTGCTACTTGAGGTGCATTAGTATAGCTACTTAAAACTGAGTAATTCCATCAAAGGCAAGGCTCCTCTGTTTGAAGTCAGACACAAAATTCTTGAGCAGCATCAGCTCCAAGTTGCCATGACATGAATAACACACCAATGCCCCTACACCATTAATAGCAACACTCAAGAGTTTGCTGGGGATTTTTTCAGAATACTTGAATTAGAAATAGAATTCATTGTACTCTTTTTAAGGTCATTTCCTTCAATTGTTTATGTGATGATGAAGAATCAACCCCAACATACAAGGTAAACAAAGAATAGTAGAGAAAACATAACTTTGGCCAGATGAAACTATAGATGTGAATATTTAATGCAGATTTCTGCAGGGTGGCTGTAAATAGGAATGGGGAAGGCATGATTCGGTGTGCACACAAAATACAGTGCAGCTCTGAAAGGTGCTGGCTGAATGAAGGGCTTGGTCAACCTCAGCCATTCACCTAACCATAACCAGACAATGACTGTGTAGGGGCAACAGGATGTATTAGAAGTCTGAATTCCCATCACACTACCATTCCCATTCCAGAAACAATGGATGCAATAACTTCCAATGGTGTCAAACCTCCTGCACATATCACCAGGACTTTTTATACAGCAAAAGTGTAGCAGGTGATACCCTTCACTAAAAGATGACTTGCCTAGCCCTCCATCATGATATCTACCAGGTCTCCAGGTCTTCTGTGGGCCTGGCACTTGTCCATTGTTGAGTCTTATCTAACTCCAAAACCCAAAGAAAATCGCTGATTTCCAAGGCTGCAGGCCAGGGAGCTGCACCAGGGTGTACCTGGCTGAACAGGTCCTTATTCAGAGTCATCAATCCCCTGTCTAAACTGGTGGGCTTTAAGATTTACTTGGCTTGTATCATTTTGTCAATCAGAGCATTAGAGGATTAGGAGTTTTGTTTACTCCTTTTGTTTATTAAAGAAAGAAAGAAAAAAAAAGCTGATGGATTTTACTCTTTAGTTATCGATTTCCTAGCTACCTGTACCAAGAACAAAGACACAAACCTTAAGAGGCTTTGGGTATTTTTTCTTTTGAAGTTTGAGATTTTCTAGCAGTGCTCTTTCCCTTTCTGTGCCAATTAAAATGGGCCTGTTTTGTAACTGATAAAGGTGCCTCTAACACGTGTCCACAACAAGGAGCTTTGTGTGCAGTTACAGTTGTTCAATAGATGCCCAGTCCCAGACAGATGGTGCTTTATCTTCACCCCCTTGTCAAGACAGCATAATGCATTGTCCTGTCAGGGATTAATGGAAGTGCCACTCATGTTAGATGCTAATTCTGGTACAAGTCTGTTAGAACACTACAGATGCTGCATCTACTGTTTCCCACTGTGCTTGTAGCAGTCTGTCCACACTGGAGCAGAAGCAGGACATTCAGAAACCAAGGTGAGGAGCACAATGCAAAAATCTATGCAGAATGCAACCTTACTGTCAATGGGAAAGAGTCATTTTCAAAGCAAGAAGAGGATGATAATAAAAACCCCACGGAAAAACAGTAGAAGAAAAAGTGACAACTGAATATTAAAGCAGACAAAACAAAGATCAGGAACCAAGAGGGAGGTTAAAAACAAGATCCAACACAACAGAGAAAGAGCCTTTTCTCAGTAATGATCAACATATCACATCATCAGAAAATCAGCACTAGAATGGTCCATAATAGTGAAGAGCAGCTGTAGTACAGGGCAGAATGTAGATACAGTGAAGGTACATTATTCCACTGTTGGATCTTCCCTCACTGCTAGCCCAAAGTATTATTGCCTTATAAAGAAAAGTAAATGTTTAACATATTGAATAGGTACACAGTTGAGTACTGATTATTAATAAACATCTAAGTCTCAAAACTGATTTCAAGGTACATACTCCAAGAACAATATGCCAGGAGACATCTGCATAAACACTATAAAAGACAGGCAATTCAGAGATAAGTTTTCAACTCTCTCATGGACCCTCTTTTTTGTTTAGATAAGAGATTTGAGATCTAAGGCTAATTTGAGATGCCTCCACACATGCAGTCTCAGTGAACTGAGAACCTTCTAGACTCTAAAACACCTGCAGAAGTTTTGGCACATTTTCCTTTCAGGACTGTGCCCATTTACCATGTTCCGTAGCTGGCATAGTGGGATAGAGGAAATTCAAGTATTGGACCCTTCTTTCTGAAAAGTCACTGGAGAATGGGAAATCTTTTGTGTTTGAGAGAAGCTCTTACATATTTATGGGGATGACAAACCTAGTTAGAAACTCCATGGTCACAAAACTTGTAATAACTGGCACTGTCACATCACTAATTGGTCAAGGCCTTTCACTCTGCATTTCAGAAGAGGTTGCATGTGAGAGAAAGAGAAGAAAGGCAAGGAAGAAGAGGCTATTCAGAGATGTTGATCAAACCTGAAAAGCCAAACCATGGCAGCAGATGGTAGATGGCAAACAGGAAGGTTTTGTCAAAAACTCGAATAGTATAAAAATAGTGGAAAGAAGAAAAGCATTCTGACAGCATGAAATACTAACCTTTAAAGACACACAAGGAAATGCATATACACCGTCTGTTGCTCCATTAATAGACAAAGATGAAGTAAATAGAGTAAATGCAAGGGAAATGAAATAGCAAGAGCAGCCCATCACTAACAGGTTTATGCACTGAGATGCAGCTTGAATCCAGGTCCTGAAATAGTATATTAGACCATAATGATTTCAAATCTCTTCTGAGAGTTGGAGACATGAGGTATACTGCTAACTTCTCACAGCCCTGTACTGAATATTAGAAGCTGTGGTCATGGTAAAAAGCAGATGAACTATTAAACAGGAAAACTCCATCTGGTTCACAAAATCAATGAGCTGTAAATCATAAAAATCTAATAGGCCATACCAGGAAATTAAACCTGTATACTTCTGCCAGTCTCATGCTTTTATTTGTCACAGGATCTGCTGCTACCAGACACTAGGAATGGACTAGGTGGGCCAGATATATCTTTGGTCTTGCATGTTTGTTCACTTCTATGGCTTTCTTTACAACTTTTGTTACTGAGGAAGGACTCGCCAAGGAGATGGGAGAGAGTTTATTAATGACAATATGTTTGACATCCATTACAGTGGGCTGAAAACCTTGGCTGGAGCCAAGGACAATGTAGGTTGATACCTAACTAGTCACTCCACACTCCAAGTGAGCATAGTTCAGTGACACACTTCCAGGCTCAGACCTCCTTACACCTCCACTTGCAACAGTCCTCACTATTCCCATCTGGATCTTTCTTGAGTGATGCTTATGGTATTGGCCAGAAAATGTTCTGATTGTGTGACTGCATACAAATTGGATGTCAGAAGAAAATAGATATTTCTTTTTTGGACCAAAAGAGTACTCCCAGTTCAGAGCCACACGATGAACTTTCCCCTCTCAGTCAGTCTCCCTTTTTTTGTTCCTCATTCCTTATGCAACTCTGGGAATGCAATTACCACCCCTCCAGAGAAAGTCTCTGGATTTCAGTACCAATGTAGCCATATTTTGATATACTGTAGATGGACTTAAGTTTGCCACATTATTAAGCAGCTGGTCATCACAAATTCCCTCTTTAGGTCATAGGGAAAGATCAGATCCTTCAAGTCTCCCTCACAGCAAGCATATTGCCATAACCTGCCACTCCTGCTACTCACGCTGTGAGATTTTTCCATGTAGAAGAGCCTAGCTGCCCTAAACTCCATACTGTCCTACTAAACTGACTTTACTGGTAACCCAAGATAATATGTGTTCAAGCCTTTAAAACACAATGCATTCTCCTCTCAATGACAAAAATGCTGTCCTATGAGAGTCATAAAAGATGTGCTTATCTTTACAAAAACTTGTATCATCCTTTAAGCCACAAATTTTTAACAGGTGAAGCTCTATACAGTTGAATGAATAAACTGTAAATGCTAGCAATATTTCCATTTGATTAAGCAAGATTCATTTTACAAATAACTCAACTTCTGTCAGTCCCAATTAAACTAACCAAATGATCAAGCACTTAATGTCTACAGAAACAAAGTTTCATCAACATCAAAGTTTCATTTTTATAAAAAAAAAATCTTTCTCCACCACAACTGTATTAAAGCAGAGCTTACTAGTCTTTGGTCTCATTTTTAATATGCTGTTAGTATCTATAAAACAGATCTTACCTTGATCTTCTGAAGAAACCGGTGACCTGAAATAAAACAACAAAATCCAGTCAATCTTGGGTAAAAGGAAGGTCACAAATAAAGTTCTGTCTCAGTCTGGGAAAGGGGATATGGAGTAATTTGAAATTTTTATTCTTTATTCCTTAGAAGAGAGGATTGAAAGGCATCTGGCAAAAAAAAAAAAAAAAAGATAAAAAAAAGAAAAAAAGAAATAGAGCTGAACAGGTCATCTAGCAGCAGATTCTGCAGGCCAGAGTGAGCATATGGAGCCATCTCTGTGAGGGCTGCTGCAAAGACTGTCTGTAGATACTTGGCAGAAACTCATCTGCTACTGCCAGCAGAAAACCTCACAATTAGGGTTAGTCAAGGAAATTACATCTTGGTAGGAACTCACAGTCATTACAGTGGCCATTTTTTGCCATAAATCAATGTAGGGGTTAGCATAAAACAATAGCCATAATTAGTAACAACTCATGCTATCTTCACAAAAGTAACACAATAGAACACAAAAAAAAATAATGTCAGGACAGATGTAATTACAGAAAAAAAGCAACATACCAGCTGCAACACAAGAGTTATGGGATACCCTAACCAGTGGATTAGGACTCTGATAATACCCCAAGAGAGGGAAGGGTTATGAAACACAAATGACCTCTCAGTGTCCCTGCTGACAAAGAGAACCCCAGTGAATTCCAGGGATTTGTGTCTCAGTTCCCATCACTAAGGATCACGCTTCTGATGGTTTTGGTCACCACCCAGAACAAAAGGATATGGAAGTACTGGCCCTCCATTTTTCCCTCTGCTGCAGTAGCATGGGTTACCAAAACTGAGGCTAACCATGGGGCTGAATCTAGGATGTACCTTCATTGCTCAGACCAGACTGACAGCACAGAGTCCAGAGGGCTGGACCACTCCTCAGCACTTCCCCAGCACAGATTTCAGTTCCATACACAGCCTTCCCACCCAATGAGTTTGTTCCTGCAGCGAGTGGGGCAACCCATGTTTCCTTTCCAAGATATTCAATTTCACAACAACGTGCAAAAATAACAAATTAGAAAAGATTTTAAAATGTTAGTGTTGCCAGCAAAGAGATCAAAGCCACCAAAAGAAAAGCAGCCACAGAGGGGTGGAGGGAAAGGAAGGAACAAAGGGGAAAAGAGCACATGTATATTTAACTGAGTCAGCAGGGACTGAGGGCTGGAGGGGGGGAAAAAAAAGTGAAGCAACCCCGGGTTAGAGGAATAAAGGAGCTGAGGAAGAAGCCATGATCTCATTTCATAACAAGGGTTTGAAAATGAAGGTTGAGGGATTATAGAACATCAGAAGCAGATATGCAAATATGTAGATGCAAACAGGAAAAATTGAAAGAAAAGAAGGAAGCTTTCCTGCCAAAGTATGTAAATTTTTTTGCTGTAAAATAGAGAGAGATGTGCAAATAAAGAGAGGAAAGAGTTAGAGCACAGCTGGAGCAATGGTCACTACGAAAGGAAAAAGATTTGATTGCCTAATTAGGATTCTGGCTGCACAAGAAGCCAATGTGTCTGTATGGATCAGAATTAATTAATCCTCTACTCCCATTAAAGGCCCTGATTGCTGCTGAACATCCTAAGCATGTATCCTGCTCTGCTGCCAGCCAGGCCAGCTCTGCCCTCACCCTTTAGCCGTGTGTGTGAAATACAGCAGGAATGCAGGTAACCCAAAGGATTTAGCAGGGCCCACTAGAACTGTCCTGCTTTGACTAGTTAGTTACAGATTTTGTCTTTAACTCCTAGCAGAACCCCTTCTGAAGATCAAAAGCTACTGCATTTTCTACAAGGTTAAACAAACCAGAATGGGTCATATCAAGAGGTGAAAGTTTTTAGATACTTGAAGATATTTTTACATGCAAGAGTCATGCAAGGTTCCTTGGCTCACATATTTTGACCCTCCACCCATTGCTAAGGCAGTATTTCACTGCATCAGCAAAATATATTCCTTTGTTTTGTTTCTTAATTGCCCAGTTTCATCACCTTTCAGTTCTTTATTTGAAGCAATAAAATAAACAATACAGATTATCCTATAATTTGGCTCTTCCTTATGCTTGGTTAAACAGATGTCATTAGCTCCTTAAAGCATCAACAACAGAAGAGATGTTATTACAATATCAATGCCTTCTCAATTAAAGCTTCGATTGAAGGGGAGGATGAAAAATATGTTTATTCATATTTTGTGTGCCTAAAATTATTATATATTTTTCAAAATATTACTGGCCTTTTTGCTTTGTTGCATGTCTCAAATACAATGTTTGTAAGAAATGTAACATTAGCACTCATGCTACTAGCAGTGCTTTTATTTGAAAGGATCCATGATGTAACTGCATAGCCTGGCATCCTGAGAAAATAAGGTTTATATAACCTTATTTATATCAGTTTCATCAGGTTTATATCAGTATCTTGATGTGTACACATGCACCTCTCTGTCTCACTCTGATAAACTCTGGGCTTGTTGGCTCATTTCATCCCTTGTTAATTGACAGGGAGTCAATTCCTGCTTGCACACACCAGGAAACAAAATAGCATAAACTTAACTTTTCTGATGTAGCAGCAAAGCCACAAAGGAAGGTTTTGAATATCCCAGCCACAGGAAAAGCCTCAATGAGAGCTTCCACCACTGGAGATACCAAAAGCTCAACCACAATAGACTGGGCTTCCTTTGTTCCACCACTGACACGGAGAATTTTGGCAAAGAGCAGAGAGGACTTTCAGCATCCTCCTACAATTCCAGGCCATACAATTTAGCAAGGGGGAGGGAGGCTTTCCTAACTGCTCAAGTCCTCTCCTAACTGCACCAAGGGGAGTCGTGTTTGTAGCTGTAATGGGAGGAAGTGAGGCTGCAGAAACCTCCACACTGAATGGAATTGGGCATTTTGTGCACTGACTCCTCCAGCCCATGCTTATGGCAGGCTCTAAGGGAGGAAAGAGAGAAAGCCTAATGACCTGTTCTAAACCACATCCACCCTCTCCACAGCCACAGGGGCTTTCCTAAAAGGACAAAACAATCCAGTAGATGCTCATATTTCCGGTCACACATCTTTCCCTCAGGTCTGAGAGAGGTGTGAGAGACAGAGTGTGGCAGCACTGGTCACCAGACAGGTGTTCCAAGAAGGGAGGATTCTCATCTGCTAACACCCTCACAGGAACCATCTGTCCAGTGCATGTCAGCTCCCCTCCCAGTTTGATCCTGGTTATGTGTTTCACTATCATAAAGGAGCAAGTTATCATCTTAACAGCCTCCATACCTTAAAAACATAAAAATTAGAGACAGGTCATAGATATTTCAGGAAAACTAATATACTGTCAAGATCTGTGGTCTCACCTGGGTCAAAACACTTTGCCAAATGACATCTTGAAGAGATTTTCATTTGGTTAAACAAAACAGAAAAAAATCTTCAGGAAAAGGTTCAGGCTCTGCAATATCCTGTTCTTGGCCATTTCAGAATGGAATAACTTCTTTCTTTATATGTGTATATATACACATCAACTGGGTTTTTCTTCTGGTTTTATCTTGGTGTAAAATGAACTTGTAGAAAGCAAGGTTCACCATCTCCCCAAGAGAGTAAAGGCAGGCCAGATTATCGGTGATTGGCTACATTTCCAGAGTCATGAGATTCAATTATCTCTTCTACCAACAGTGATATTTATTTTCCCATGCATAAATGAAACTGGAGAGCCTGATTTCACATATTTCACCAAAGGCTTTAATCTGACTTTCTCCCTGCTCTGGTTTTACAAACATCTATTGTTGTAGCAGATAGTTTGAGTAAAGACATTTCTGTGATAGGAAAGAGGATCAGAAGGGAGGAGGAGGAAAAGCATGATGTCAAGAAGGGTCTTATCTACTCTGTTTGCTTTCCATGCTGTTCATTGCCCTCTTTTCTTACAGGTCCTGCAGCAGTGGCAAACTCAGCCAGAGGGATAACAGAACTTGCAAGCCTCAGCCTGCAAGGGGAGGTTGTGCAAGGTCTGTTCCACCACCCCTTATACAAGCAAAACAATACCCTTTGGACTTAACAAAAAATCTTCAAGCATCTTCCAGAAATCAAGGTACACATCTTTAGAAATGCATAAAAAAGCCAGATCTTACATACACTAGATGCATCCAGCAAATTGGAATACTTAAAATATAGAAGGCATGAGACCTGCCCACCTGAAGCCACAACAGGCCTCCAAATTCACTGTCTGATCCAAAGCTCACTGGAATTTTCCCACTCACTCTTGCAGGATTTGGACAAATTGCTTCAGAAATCTAATCCTCAGTATAGGCAAGGCAACCTTCAGCATCATATAAACCTCTCTCCAAGAGCCAAACAGTCAGAGCTGTTTCCAAGTGCACAGCCCAATGTGCAAGCACTAGGTTTGTTCACAGTAGATGGGTGGAAGAAGGAATATTCATTTCTAAGGAGGGAAGTGCAGGGAATGTCACAATTTTGAGCCTAGTCAACTGAGACTTAGGAACCCAGAGATATACAGCCAGACTCCAGGAGATGAATTCTAACAAAATTTCAGCAAAAGAGTACATTATTCATGAAGACAAAAGACTCTGGAGAAACAAAGTTGGAGCTGATGTAAAGCAGCAATTTTAATCAATAAACCTGTAGCAGAAACCATCGGCACCAGACCTATTTAAAACCAGCCATTTAATATTTAAAGGCCAAATAACAACCTCTATGCAGCAATTCTACTGGGGTTTATGACCATTCCACTTTCTTCCTGCTTAAGGAATGTAGTCCTGCAAACTTTTTAATTCAGTCTGACAACAGCTGCCTGTGATGAGGGGAGAGCAAGAGCTGTCAAATTAAACCCATTCCTTCTCATTTTGCAAGTGCATCTCTTCAGAAACAAAAGTGGCATCCCTGTTGGGATTTATTCACATATCCTCTGATTGCAAATGAAGAAAAATTTTAGCACATCATGTGTTTTTAAAATATAGGTGAGGAAACCCTCTCATTCAGCAACTTGTATCAACACCCCTGTAACTGTGATTCCCC